TCTCTTGGAAATACGCTTGAAATTTGCCCCTCGAATTCGATCTCTATCATCTTGCCCTTGTTGATAATCCAGCCTCTCTTTTTCTCCTTCCTCTAGAGCCGCCAATCTTTCCTGTCCTGCCTGGCCCACTTTTGTCTGTCTAAGCCCTCTTGGACGTGAATTTTTCAGATAGCCATCTCTTTCTGCCCACCAGCCAGCTTCCGAACCTTCTCTCGTCCTTAGGCTTGGGACCAAGTTCAATTGCCATGACGTCGGGGCGCTCTGGGCAGTAAGATGTCGGGGACTGCGGCCAACCGGAAGTTCAACAGGAGTAGGACCGAACCAGAAGGGTTGATGCCAACCACGTGTGGTCCAGTAGGACAACTCAACATCGTCAATAAAAGCTTTTGAGAAGTCGTAGCCAAAGCGTACATTATGAGCGCAACCTCCCCATCTGTGTATTAAAGGTGCAAGAAATGCATAGGAGACAGGAATATTGTGAATTAAACTCGGTAAAATCAAATCACAAACTAATTGAAATATCAGTTAAATCTATCAACCTATGCACTAGCTGGAGCCAACCACAGACATAACAACTACCTCAGTGATAGGGTTTGGCTAGGCTTTGATGATAAGGATGGTCGACTAATGTTCGAACATGTAAACTAACTAGGCTCTAGAAGTTGTTTGACCTTGTTTTCGCAACTCCATCATATTGGCAGGGAAACCTAGAGGAGCGCACCTAGTTCGGAGTCCATAGTATGTATCATTTTCCCCGGACGTCTCACTGCCATCGTAGTCAGCATCATCAGTGAGTCTTGCCAGTCTCAGCAACGAAGTAACAACTCGTCAAAGAGACAAGTGAAGTCAATCCATTGACCAACTTTATATCGAGACGGTTATGCCATCACTCCTCGTATCGTCCTGGTCCCTTTATCCATTTCCTGCCATCTAGTCTCGCCCTCGTCCTATCACAACTTCTGACACATTCATACTCCACAAGAGACGCGCCCTTTTGGCGAATTTACCGTAGCGTCGTCACACCAGCTCTTTGCCTTGCTCCCATCCCTTTCGAGTGGCTGATACTGCTCTAGTCTCCTGTCCGGATCTGTGTGTGATTGCTTGCAATGAGGTAAGAAAATTTAAACGAGCAACTATCAAGAGGGATTTTATCACATAAAAAGTGACTTCGGTGCTTTTCCTAGGTTATCATATAATCTTTGCCTCAGCGAGATTTAAATCGGGGCCTTATCGCAACTATAACACGTCAACTTGGTCATATTAGTAGGAAGACTTATAGGAACGCACTTTGTCCTGAGTCCATTTTATGCATAATTATTTCCAAAGTCGGACCG